AATAATATCTAGAGTATCTTATATTTTTTAGGCTTCTTTTTTTTCTCATTTACCGACTCTGAGGAGAATTGACGATACAACTATAATATGTATAAATATATATGCAGCTGCCTTTTCTATATCATTGATATACGTTAAAAAAAAACTCGATGTAGTAAATGATAGTTGTCCCTGGAGCTCGTTTGCCAATCGTCCTAATGTCAGCGTGTATCTATCATAACTGTATATGTAAGATACAACGTATATTCTTTTCTCTCTTTTTTTTGTTCTCTCTTTTCCTTTTCCATTTCAATGGTCCATTCATCTTCATCAATGATAATACGCAATATACCCAACAATGAAAAATGTCCTTATAGATTTGTAGACATCATTTTTTTGAATAGACTTTTTTTTATTAAAAAAGATATAGGACATTTTTAAAGTTTAGTTTATTTTTCTCTTTTTAATTTAAAGAAAATATTTCATTGAGAGAAAATTATCTCTAGATGAATGATGCTCAATTTTTTATGAACGATATTTGAAAATTTTTCTAATTTAACTTAAAAGTGAGTACTTCTACTCTCAAAGATTGCATTTTTTTTTCTTAAACTTTTTCTTGTCTCACTATAATGTGTTAAACAGAACTGCTATTGAACAATTTTTGATGGAAGCTACAGAAAAAAAAAACTAAAAAGCATTTCTTTTTACGTAACAGAAGACAGCTGTTATACCGTTTTTTCTTTTTTCTTTTGTTGTAAATGAGAATATGCGTGATATGTACGTCATGAACGGATGGATGCGTTACACTTGGTCTAATATTTCTATGTACTTAAATCATCCGAATGTGGTAATCAACCCATTAATTTATCTAAATTCATAGTTTCTTGTTTTTTCTCTAAGAGAATACTTTTTTCTCCCAAGGTCTTATGTCAAGAATAACAGAGAGAAGGTACGATATTGCTTTATGGGCTTTTCCTTCTTCTGCTTTTCCTCAACAGACTTCTGTTCTTTATTCTTGTTCTTTTCCAGCGTCATTGGTTCGGTCCTTCTAGTTTTTTTTCTATCAATTCTTTTTTTTTAGTCGTTTTCTTTCCAATAATGGTTCTATGCATTCATCATGTATCTGCCTTTCAATTGCTTCTATAGTTCTTCTAAAGCTCATGATACATATTTATACGTCAAACCCATTGACTTTTTTTAGAAAAGTCATTGACAATTTGCCTTTTAATACAAGTATATCAAAAGACAGCATAATGGTTAAAAAAAACATTGGTAATATCTATGGATTTGTTTGGTAAATAGGTAGATCTATGGAACAATATGAGAAGAATGGTATGCAGATCTGTATGAAAATATGTTATCTTAGTTTAGAAATAGATTTATTATTTGTACGCGAATATAAAGAGAAGCGATGATAAGCCTAATAAAAATAAAAACAACGAAATCGCTCGTGCGTTTGCGTCTCTTAACCAAAATAGATGGCTTCGTCTTGCGTCGCCTTCTGTCTTTATTATCGGTGTGCGTGTTTTTTAATCTAATCACATATAGACGAAACGCAATGCGCACTCGCGTCAGTCTTCGTAGTTGATGATTGTAAGCGGAATAGGCAACAACAGTGCTATAGCGCTCGATGGTGCAATCACAATGTAAGAGAAAGCAGTCAGTTCGCGCTTGAATAAGATGCAGTAACGACAACATCAAGGAAAGAGAGAAAGACCATTTTTCTCTCTTAGCATCGTCAAGCATCTTTTGTTCTGTCCGCGGAACGAAAGGGCCTGAATGTATTTCTCCTCCTTCTCTCGATCTTGTGCACGTCGTCGTTGTTATTATGTAGTGGCAGTGGCCCATTCATTCTCGTTTGTAGGGCAATGTCTGTTGACTACGCGAGCGCACGGCTCTCTTGTTGAGTAAGTTGCTGTATTCCTTTTCTTTCGTTCTGTCTTTCTCTTCTTCCTTTTTTCCTTGTTTCTATTTTCTTTTTTTTTTTACTATTTGCGTTACAACAACCATGTATGAGTATGTGTGGTTGTAACAGCAGCATCAGCTCGTTTTTGTTACTGGACGCCCACTCAACGACGACGACGAGAAAAAGTATAGTACATATATATGCAAACGTACGAACAAATAAGAAAAAAGACTAGCCTATTCGATAACTGCCGTACTTTTTTTTATCTATAGTACTATCAACTACCATGCTCGAGAAGCATCTTTTTTCAAAAGAAAAAGAATACACATGGAATAAGATTTAAATTATTTGTATGTGATTGTATTCATTCAAAACACGAAGATCTTCATAATTATTTTTATTATATTATACATGCTTTTGGTATGATGGCAAAGAAAAAAAAGGTTATCATCATCAGTTCAACAAGCAGCATGTCTTAACTCTACGCCAATATAAAGGTTAATTTTTGTCTGTTACGCCATACCATTGATTCATTTATTGATCGAAAAATCAATCAAAATACATATATATATATATATGTATAAATATGTATATGGTTCACTCATCTCGATTACATTAGTTTTTATTATCGTATACTTGACGAAATATTAGAGGGTGATTATATTCGTTCTTTTGTAGGTTTTTTTTCTCCTTTTCATCTATCATCAACCTTCATTTACCTGGTAGTGATGGTAGACCGATAAGAGAGAGAGGGAGAAAAAGCGAATATAAGAGAAACTAAGATAAAATTGCAGCTGACGCATGTGCCTCCAGCGGCCTTGTGTATCGTTCGGATTTTTTCATTGCATGATCATCACATCAAATTCGTTTTTCGTCGTCATCGTCAATAATATAGACCTTCTTTTCATTCTCTACTAGAATCATCAATGTCGATTCTCGTTTTTTTTTGCTTTGGTCGACGCACAGTACTCCTTCGTTTCTTTCTATTCGCTTCCCTTCTCTCTCTTATTTTTTTTTTTATTATTATTATTCTCTCTGCTCTATCGGTAACGACACGACAACATCGTCGTTTTTATCTCGACTCTTGGTGAAGGTAGACGATTTTAGAAGGTTGATGAGATGGCATACGAGAACGCACATATATTGATAAAGGACATCGCCATCCATCATACTAAATAATAAAAAAAGCAGCTGATGAGCAGTCGCGTCCTTCGTTATATCGTCGCTTTGGCGCCAGTCGAAGCTAATCGAACTAGTATGGACTATCAGTTGACTGACACGTAACAGTAACGTAAGCTTATGTACAAAGACAAAAAATAATTTGCTTGTGCTAGCACTCTGCTTATTAACTATGATTATGCTTGCTATTAGCACGATTCTATGACGTTAACACTCTTATGGATAAAATTAAAGGAAATGAGACAAGTAAGTATCAATGATAAAATAGGTCTTTTCTTTACTTTAGAAATTATATACTAATATACCGATGTGTTGTCTCGAATCTGACTAGTTTTGCAATCTGCTCGATATCAAAGTGCAGGTGCTGGCTTCTCAGATACCTGACGCATATCGGAAACGACGATTTAATCAATTTATATATAAGTTCTTCTTGAGATTACACTGTGTGTTTTTCTTTTTGTTATTTATATGACTGTTATATGTTTTGTATTTTTTATTATTATTATGAAATAAAATATTTATTGATTAATTTAGAAATCAGAAAAGAATATTGTAAAACGTTAGAAAAAAAAAACAAAAATTAGTTTTGGTGAAGATAAATATTAAAAAGTAGAAAGCCTCAAATGAAAATGCAATATCAATAGATTGTAAAAAACGTCTTTCCATTTTCTGATAAGTATTGTCATCATAGCAACTATTAAATTTTAATGTATTTGTTTTTATAAATCCTTGCGATTAAGAAAATATCAAGTATCAAGACAAATAGGATAAATTGAAGAGAGTAAAACATATGATCTAGTGACTGATGCATCGAATACGCTTATCTTTTATTAATGATTTCAAAATGCACTGTGAGATAAGTTTTTTTTATGACTGGGCTTTTATATCAAGATTTAAATACATTCAGAAACAGTGTAATTTGAATAATATTTCAGCTAAATAGTATGCAAGTCATTTTTAGAGAAACTAATAGATGACACTCTGTGTAAATTATCTACCAAGGTCGAAAAATACGTTCCATATACGGCTGTTTACGGTTAAAAAAAACTACATGTAAACGGGCCGTATACCATCCTAATACTGGATGTAGAAATACAGCCGTGTCATAGTAAGATTACACTATATATACGGCAGTATACGGCGAAAATTGGTCTGTTTACTACCTTAAAGTTGCCGCTTTAGCATCGTTTACTGAAGGAAAATGTGCCATAAACGATATGCATTTTCATCGATCTGAATATGGCAAAGATAAAATATTATACGATCAAAATGCATGAAAATTTGTTAACTCTTAAAAATTCTCGGACGTGACTCGAGATCACGATGTCTTGAATTTGCAAGCGAGTACGCTTAACCCAACTGTATTAGCCAGATCGACTGTTTTTGCTGTAGGTTTCGAATTTGGTTATTTTGTTATAAAGATGGCGCTAGATAATGGCACTCATACAATAGAAAAAATAGACATGGTCACGATGAAAATATGCTTTAACGACATTGTAAACTAAGCGTAATTTTTATGTGAGATTATCTTTTTAAATAATCAAGTTATAAAAGGATCTGAACAAGTGCATCAATAGATTCATTTTCGAAATAATAGAACAAGCCATCCTCCTCAATTCATAGATCAATAAAATAAATTTATCTAACCTCTTGTCTGCACTAGAAAAACATACTACTGATGCTAAATTAGGTAATATGATTGATGTTTTCATCTAGCAACACCAATCAGATTGCTTAATTCAATGTTAAATGAAATATTCTAGCATAGACAAGAACTAGCGAAAGACAAACATATGACTAATTAAATGTTTATAAAATAGACGAATCATATTCAAGAATTGAATCATCTCATTGCTTGACAGACATTCACAGATACACAAGCTTGGTTGCTTTCATTTGTTTTATGTTTATCCTAGAAGATTGATTTTGTGTAACAATGGTCTTTTTGATATCAACACTTGAAGCATATTTTGCATTTCTCGATAAAATCGAACCAAAAATTTTATTCTATGGATTATTATCTTTTACATGGATTGTTTCCATTTGGGAACATTATCTATCATATCGACAAGTATATTGAAATATTTTCGAAAGTAAAATTTATTTTTTTTATTTTGTTTTTCTAATTTAAATAGTATTGTAATTATAAACGCCATCAAACTGTTCCAAATGAATTAGCCGATGTAATGACAAGTGAAGAATTGAATAAAGCTCGTTCATATGCTATTGATAAAATGCGTTATAATGAAATTCATTCATTATTTAATGAAATTGAAACAACAGTAAAATAATTTCAATATTTATCGATTGTTTTTATTTTAATATTTATAATAGATTTTATTATTAATTGGTATTTTACCATGGTTATGGTCAACATCAGGAAATATATTATCAAAATATGATTATAATAATCATGAAATCTTACAATCAATAGTTTTTCTTAGTATAATTATGATTTATTCCACTATAACAGGTATTCCATGGTCATATTATTATCATTTTGTTCTTGAAGAAAAACATGGATTTAATAAACAAGTAAATTTCATTTTATTGACATAAAAAGAAAATCATATTTAATAAAAATATTCATATTTATTTAGACAATTGGTTTTTTTATTAAAGATACTATAAAAAAATTGCTTGTTACATTTGTATTAATGTTACCAATTTTTTCTCTTTTAATTAAAATAATTCAAATAGGTGGAGATTATTTTTTTGTTTATGCTTGGCTATTTATTACAATTATGTCATTGGTAATTATATTTGAATAATAATAAAAGAAATTCATTCTTTTTTTTTTTGTCTCTATTATGTAGATTATTGCATTCATTTATCCAAATTATATTGCACCATTATTTGATCGTTATGATCCATTACGTGAAGGAGAATTACGTTCTAGTATTGAACGACTTGCTGAACAAATTAAATTTCCACTTGCAAAAATTTATGTTGTCGAAGGTTAGTTTTGAAGAGATATGTTTAGAGTTTCAGAAAAGAAAAATTTTTGCCAGTATCAACACATAACAAAGTAAAATTCTAGCTAATCTCAGTAATTATTCAAGGATTAAGAAGAAATTCGAAGAAAATTTTAAAACAAATTTCAGGAATTATCGAGACAGGATTTTGTCGGATTAGATGACTTATCTTGAACCAGATTACCATATATGTAATTTTATAGAATAATTTACGATGCGTCGAACAATATATAATAAATCAAGTTGTTATGAAAACTTTTGTGTACTGAAGTTTCATATACTAGTTATAATCTTTGAGAAATAGATATGTGGTACTACTCATAAACACTGTGATCCCTCAGATGAACTTATACAAATTTGGTTTTTAAATTCATTCTCATACAGTTATCGGGCACTTGGATTTATATAATTAAGAATTTTCATTGTCGCTTTGTTCATGCTTACAAATGGTCTACCAAGTCAAAACTTTCTCAAAAACTGTACATTCTCGGGCTCTATGTGTTTCGCATATAGCATCTTTTGAAAAAGCAATAATTCATTGTCAGTCGATATATTGACAATAGTTACGATTGTATTAAAGATTTTCATTTACTACTAATTGCCATAATGTTGCTGATGAACTGATATAAATAACCTCTTTATAAACGCAAAAAACTTTTTCGACCACCAGATTTCTGAAGAGAAGCACGAGTATAGGATTGTAGAAAAGAGATCTGCTATTATTTTTTATTTCTTTTTCAAATATTTATTCCAAGTATTCCAGTTTGATTTATGCATGAAATTCTAGAAGAATGAAATCATATCTCGTGTTTATTTCAAACATAAATTTTTTCATATTGTCACAGCTACTCCAGTGGTTTGGAGGTCAAACAATAAAGAAGTTATTTATATCGGTTCATCCTAGATACTACGTTAATTATCGGTGTACAAAAATTTTTAATTGGATCCTTAAGTATTGTTAATATGCCGATCCTTTCATGTAGAAAAATAGACTGTTGAAAGTGATAATTTTGAAAATTGATAATTATCTTCTGTTATTTCGGAAGATGTTACGTGTGAAACGTAGACAACTCGTTAGTGTGCAACTATTGAGAAATTTCCACATTGATATTCACTTATTCTGTGGTATAGAGTTGAAGCTTTTGAAATATCATATAGTCAAGCAATGATCTACACCTTTGAAAATGGATTATTTAACATTCATAACTGTATCGAATTGGATTTAAAAATAAAATTTGTATAAGTTCATATTGGAGACTGTAATGTTTATGAGTACCATATACTTATTTCTCAAGGGTTATAATCTGTATATGAATCATCAGCACATCAAAATTTTCATAAAACTTGATTTCTTATGTACCATTAGATGGACTGTGAATAGCTCTACAATAATTATATGTATAGTATCCAGGTTCAAGATAGGTTACCAAGTCCGGCAAGGTCATTTCGATGTTTTCTAGTAAATTTCAGTATTTAATTTTTGTTTTCGAAAATTACTGAAATTTTTATATGCAATATATCATACTAGTTGGTTGAAAGTATTGAAGGCTCTACTCTCTGATTACATGAGTTTTCAGAAATGAATAGGAAATTGGCGACAAGTCTGATAGTTTTGAGGATGAGCTTGTATATTTCTTTAATCTTATAATTCACATTTATTTATAGTTCCTTTGGAACTTCTTTTTTTATAAATCAATAACTAAAAAACTTCCTGAAAATTACCTTTCCATGTTTTAGTAATTTCAGAAATTTGAAGATATAGCTAACTGTTCGAAAGTTTTATTGCAAGAAATCATTTGAAACGAGATTGCTTTATTTATGAAATTATTTTTCTTAATTTTTTTAATGATCTTATTTGAGATCGATGGAGAGAATATTCTCATCATTTTTGTCAGAAGAGTTAATTTTCATATTTATTTCAATGAAATGAAACACAACAATTCAAACGAATTTTGATTCAATTATCAGCAAACTGTATTATCATTCCTCTTAGTGTAATGTAAAATCTTAATATTTATTCTGTTGTTGTACAATGTATATAAATTAAAAACAAAAACCTATTCTTACTTCTAAAATTTTTAGGCTCGGCTCGATCAGCTCATTCAAATGCTTATTTTTATGGATTTTTCAAAGCAAAACGAATTGTTCTTTACGATACCCTTATCAAAGGCTATAGTCTTCATAAGGAGAATAAAGATAATCTTGCTGATAAAGAAAATCAATCAAATAAAACAGAACAAAATGAAAATGAAGTAGAAAATACATTAACTCATCGTAAAATTAATGATGATACAAATGATAAAGTTAATGATGATCAACAAACAACAAAGAAAAAAACTGATAAAGGTTGTGAATCAGATGAAGTTCTTGCTGTACTATGTCATGAATTTGGACATTGGTCACTCAGTCATAATCTTATCAATCTATCTATTTCATTTGTACGTATAATTTATCTTCATTAAGAATTTTATTTTTCCTTTTGACTATGCCGAGCATCTCAGGAATAAGCACCAAAAAAAGGAATAGAATATTTTCACTGTGTTTTGACTGAAAGAGTTAACTTTTTTTTTCCTTAATCTTAGAAAAGAGTTTCAAGTAGAAGCCGTCAGGTCTTCATCTTCGGAACTGGTTGAATTGTCCTTTGATACTTTCAATGAAATTTCTAGTCGGAATCTGATAGTCGTCCCAAAGATATGAGATACTTTTTTTTCGGTTTCTTGTATTCGATGACTAGCGCCTTCTATACATTCCTTAGAGGAATAGAACACGTCAGCTCCAAAGTTTTCGAACTCAGTCCGAGACCAATCCGATAGACTTTAGTTCCAAGTTTTTATTCATGATCAAAAAGTTTAGTAAAATCGTTTAAAACCATTATTATTATTATACAATTAAAAGAGAAAGATTAAGACCTTCTGGTAAAGATAAACAATAGATTTTAAACTTTTGGAATAACATTTGAATTGTCATGTTTCTAAATTTTCTCAGTTTTTTAAATAATTTATTTGCAATAGCTAATTTTTTTCTAATGTATGTGGCTTCATAAGACTTTCTCGGATGTTGTGATACAGAAAATTGTCGAGAAATTCATGCGACTATAATTAATTTTTGATGGAGTACTTGCACAGGTAGGTAACTACAAAGATGCAGACGGTCTCGAAAACCTTTTGTTATATTCGATTTTTCAGAACTTTTCTCACTGATTGTTTCAATAAAAAGAATTTTTGATTTTCATCAATAAATATCAGTGCTAGACTCAAAATATTAGAAAAAACGTGAAATTGTTCTGAAATGCTAAAGTAATTTGAGTTTTTTCAGTCGAAATGATCAACGGTAAAAGCTCAACAAAAACAAAATTAGTTCATCAACAGATAGAAGCTTTACAAAACTTTTCTTTCACATTCTTCGTTCAATGGTCGATTTGAATTCGTCTTTGTATCCTAATATTGATTCAAAACTTTTAGAATTACTCATGAGAAAGAAAATGATTAATTATCGAATGAAACTTTGTATATGCCTTGAACGATACTATTGTTTACATATTCTCTTTATTAAATCAGAGACCATATGGATAAAATTTCATCTGTGTAAACTTGACTTTTGTTTTTCTCTCCTTTCTAGATCAATCTATTCGTGGTATTTTCTATATTTGCTGCTCTATTCAAACGTACTGTTCTTTATGAAGCATTTGATTTTCCAGCAACTCATCCAATTCTAATAGGTTTATTAATCATTTTTCAATATGTTTTATCACCGTATTTTGAAGTAAGAAAAAGTAGCAAACGAAATATTTTTTTTCTTAATTAAAAACATTTTTGTTCTTTATTTTTCATTAAAAGGTTTTTTCATTTGCTTTAACGGCATTATCACGTCGTTTTGAATTTCAAGCTGACCATTTTGCTGTTAAACTTGGTCATGGTGATCAATTATGTCGTGCATTAAAAAAACTTGAATTGGATAATATGACATATCCATTTTCAGACAAACTCTATGCTACATATCATTATTCACATCCAACATTACTTGAACGTCTTAAAACAGTTAAATCAATGAAAGAATATTAAAATCTTTTGTTTTTCTTCGTTTTTTGATTTAAAAAAAAAATGTCAACATTTTGGCTTGTCATATTCAAACCTCATTGTCATTTGAAATGCATGAGGATAAGATGTTGATTTTGAATGAAATAAAACTATATGAAATTGAAATTTTTAAAATAGAGTTTTACTATACATTGTATATGAAGAAATATATTTCTTAGCATAATGTATTATAATAGATAACAAATAACTAGCAATACCTATTGATTAATAGATTTATTTAATAGGAAATACAATAAGATAAAATATAGAAGAGTTTTTGAATCTTTTCGGATAGAATACATCTGTTTAGATTATTATTTATATACGCACACTTTATATATAATCTGCTTGATTCAAAAGAATAGAATAAAAATTAATACCATAAAATAGTGATATAAAAAGAAACTCAAAATCATCTAGATAACGAATTCTTGTAAGAAGAACGTAAACTTATTAAAAATTCTATAAAAAAAAAATGAAATAATTATTAAAAAGCGGCAATAAAATATATATTTATATCTTTCTTTATTTTAGATCTAAATGCTGTGCGATGATGAAAAAGACATTGATCATATTTATCAAAAAGATTTTGCAGATAAAATAGAAAAATTTCTTGATCATTCACAATTTTACTTAAATCGTTTATCACTATTTAAAAATCAATTATATGATATTAAAAGGTTAAACCAAGAAGAGTTATATATTCAAAAATTGAGTAAGTCAAACATGAAATTTTTCTGCATTCTTTATTCGACATTATTAACTCGATTATGTAGAGAGTGAAAAGAAAATCCAAGAAACTATTCAGTCTTACCTTTATTATTTATCTTTCTTTATCTTGATAGCAGGGGTACAACTCATATATATGAAAGTCTAATACAATGAGAAAAAGTTAAACACATCTGTAAATGTAAAAGAATAATATTCACAATATAAACTAATGTCACAATTATTTATACCAAGTAAGAGATTCTTTCAATTAGGAATGTGTACACCGCTAAGAGAATGAAAGTTCACGGAAAACGATAAGGATTCAGTGTCTTAAGCACCCACATCGGAATAGTAGGTGCTACTCACTGAAACCTTGTCGATGGACTTAAGTGTGACCTTATCTCATGTCGTCTGATTGTAGAGTGTTTTGAATTCTATCTTACTTGTTGTTGAATTTCTAACTTCTGGATAGTTGCTACTACTGAATGACAAATGAGAAACTTAGGCAGAAACATGTGTTATATGAATAAAGTCAGTCGTTAGTGATGATCCGTGGCAAGATTAAAACATATGTATGCCGAGATAATGAAATAGGTTAGAACTACTTTTTTCTTATATCTTAAATATATATGTTACGTTATTCTAGTTACCTTGAAAAAAACCAGCAGAAGAAACTTTTGTTTAGGAGAGTTATCAATAAAAATCGAGTTTTACCAGTATGATACAACAAAGAACATCGTCTTTGACTTCATGCACTTTAGTTTTAAGAAATTCCGAAACTAAGTAATACATTCTGTGCACAACTTCTGTAGCTATAAAGCCTCTATTCAAAGCTTTTTCTAAGTATGCTCAGGTTTAAAAAAAATTGGTCTACTTTTCATTAGTAACGTAGCGGCGTATGAAAGAATGCTCTTATAACTGAATGAGAGATTTCAAACAAATTCCAAACAGGACAAATCCTTCTTCAAAATATCTCAATAATAGGGTTTTATGAGGAAGTTTTTTGGAGTTTGATCTTGCTTAAAATTTTCACCATAGATGCAATACATGCTGTGAAATCTATCATGAAGTTTTCGAAATTTATCTCCTATGGTTAGAGAGATCGTTGGTAATTACATTTAAATTAATACTTAGTCAACATTTTTACATATGTCTGTTGTAAAAGAACTTATTCAGAAAATATTCCTCGTTAACAATCAAAGTCAATTGAAAGATCGGTGTGTCCTATTTTGTCTGCAATGGCACATATATAAAACTACATAAACTTTATCATTTTAATTCTTTCTATTTGTTTAGACGAAATCGATACGATTGTTCATAATTTATCAGAAAATATTCTCAGTATTGAACAATTAAATTCACAATTAAATGAAGACGAACGTTCAAAACTCGATCATCAAATTCATCTTCTTCGCAATGAAATCGATCGTGAAATGACCGAATTTCATAGACTTCGTGAAGAAGTTATAGTTTCTTCTCCTGAAGAAAATAATTCATTAATTAATGAAATCGATAAGAATGATATTAAAGATAATTCAACAACCAATGAACTTCGTCAACGACACATAACAACAAATCGTCTTAATGATTCATATGATTTACTTGAACAAGATCTAGCTTACTTGCGTGAAGCTATTGATGAAGTTGCCATACTTGTTAAACAACAACAACAAAAATTATCAACAACCGAACATCTTAAGAATATGGCACAATATCGTATTCGTAATGCATCTTCATTTCTTCAAAAAGCTATTCATAATCGATATGTGACTTTAGCATCAGGTGCTTTACTTGGTGCTAGTATTGGTGGACCTGTTGGATTTATGATGGGTACAAAAGTTGGTGCATTAGTTGCACTTAGTGGTTCAGCTGTTGGTGCTCTTTCGATGAATATTATGCGACAAAGAGTAGCAGAAAATGATGAATCTCAAACTAATAATACTATTGCATATAATCAAGCAATGCTTTAATTCCAGCAGGAAAAAATAGAAATCTTTCACATTCAGTATTTTTTATTGTATTATTTGTTTTAACTATATTTTTATACATAGTTCGAAGGAATTTGTTGTCCCAGTGAATTTTTTTGTATTAATTTAATTATATATATATTTCTTTTATACAATGGTTTTATCAAAAGTCTATTTGTAATTTTAACTTCACATATTATTTTAAGTGCTTGATTTGTCATTGTAATGTTTGATACTAACAAGCATTAACTTACATGTTGATGCAGATTGGATTAAAAATAATTTTAGTAAATGTTTCTGGAAAAGACATAAAAAGTTAACAATCAAAATGAATGATATACGTGTATGAAAATTTCTTACATATCCAATATGTTGTCAAGAAGAAAAGAAGTGACTATTTTTCGAATCTTTTAAATATTGCTTCAATGTTTGAAAACAGAACATTGTTGACATTCGTTTAACAAATAAAAATATGGAAACATTAAAGTTGGGGTTCTTCAAGATCAAAAAACCTTTCATCTTCGGACACTATTAATAATAGACGATGAAACATATTAGAACATCCGCTCAAGGAATACTTCATTGTTTAAGAATATATCTGCTTTTTATTTTTTGAAACAATAAATTTTGCAAAAGTACAATGTTCAAATCTTAGTAATATATATATTATATAAAATTCTCTTTTCTATTCATTCTATTTATAACAGATTGCATAATTTGCTTTACTATATGATATAGCATAAAAGTGTTCATTTGTAAGAAATAATTCTTTTTTTTTTGTTTATCATTCAATCAAACGATATGTTATCTACAAGTTGTATTTTTTAATTGTAATAATCTTGTTATTTCGAGAACAAATTTCTGTTTGTCATGATTCAATGTTTCACATATGTATGGGTTTACTGGCCAGATCGTTAACGATGAGAAGAAAAAGAAATCGCTAGAGAGAGAGAAGAAGAGAAAGACAATCAATATGTCTGTCGGTTTGTTGCCATCGTGAGCGCAGCAACCAAACAAACATCTATAATGTATTGTGTTGCCGGCCACATCGGTTGTCTCCTCGGTTACTTTCTATGCGTTTTTTTTTCTATTCTTCTTCTTCGCTCTCTCTCTCTCTCACACACACATCAGCCACGTCCGTCCGTCTGCGACTTTTCCTGCTGCTGTGATGGTGATGCGATATGTGCGCGCTTAGTCTCTCGTTTCTTTTTTTTTCGTTTCAGTCGCCGTTGCCGACGTCCTCTAACAACGCACACAACACACTCTTTCCATTTACATCCACTTCATCTTTTCTCTCGTTTTCTCTTTTTTTTTCTCGCTTGCTATTTAAAAGGAGAAACTCAGTCCAAACTTGCCTCTCATTCTTTTCTGTAGACATATAAATTCGCTCGTCGTCGTTCGTCGTCGATAGTATATATCCATACACACACACTTTGAACATTAACTACTCGGAAAAAACACAAAGTAATATTTGTTAAAAAATAATGAAAAAATCCAAGAAAAAAAAACAAAATATTTTTTGTTGTTTTCTAGATGCGTGAATGTATTTCAATCCATGTTGGCCAAGCCGGTGTTCAAATTGGTAATGCTTGTTGGGAACTTTATTGTTTAGAACATGGTATTCAACCTGATGGTCAAATGCCATCAGATAAAACCATTGGAGGTGGTGATGATTCATTCAATACCTTCTTTAGTGAAACTGGTGCTGGAAAACATGTACCACGTGCCGTTTTCGTTGATTTAGAACCAACTGTCATCGGTAAATAAAGATAAATAATCAAAAAAAAAAAACCAAAACCATATTTCTATTAAACTCTTACTATAGATGAAGTACGTACTGGTACATATCGACAACTTTTCCATCCTGAACAACTTATTACCGGAAAAGAAGATGCTGGTAAGAATTAATTATAAAAATATTATTTGTATAAAGAAAGATTTATTTTATAGCTAACAATTATGCTCGTGGTCATTATACCATCGGCAAAGAAATTGTTGATCTTGTACTTGATCGTATTCGTAAATTAGCTGATCAATGTACTGGTCTTCAAGGTTTTCTTATTTTCCACAGTTTTGGAGGTAAATTTTGAATTACCATATAAAATTTATTTCATATGTAATCGTTCTTGTTTTTCTTTCAGGTGGTACCGGATCAGGTTTTACATCATTATTAATGGAACGACTTAGCGTTGATTATGGTAAAAAATCAAAACTTGAATTTGCTGTTTATCCAGCACCACAAATTTCAACTGCTGTCGTTGAACCATATAATTCAATTCTTACAACACATACAACACTTGAACATTCGGATTGTGCTTTTATGGTTGATAATGGTTTGTATTGAGTTGTTAAGATTGAAGAAAATTTCAGATTTTATTTTAATTTATTAGAGGCCATCTATGATATTTGCCGTCGTAATTTGGATATTGAACGACCAACATATACAAATTTAAATCGACTTATTGCTCAAATTGTTAGTTCAATTACAGCTTCACTTCGATTCGATGGTGCACTTAATGTTGATCTTACTGAATTTCAAACTAACTTAGTACCATATCCACGTATTCACTTTCCTCTTGCTACATATGCACCAATTATTAGCGGTAAGAAAAAAAAATTAACAATTGATAGGAAAAAGAAAACTATATTTTGTTTCTATTATAGCTGAAAAAGCCTATCATGAACAATTAACAGTAGCTGAAATTACCAATGCTGTTTTTGAACCAGCCAATCAAATGGTTAAATGCGATCCACGTCATGGTAATATTTTAAAATACGAAAGAAAATATTTGTTATTTAAACGTTATTGAATAATTCTATAGGTAAATATATGGCTTGCTGTTTATTATATCGTGGTGATGTTGTACCAAAAGATGTTAATGCAGCTATTGCTACAATTAAAACAAAACGCACAATTCAATTTGTTGACTGGTGTCCAACTGGATTTAAAGTTGGTATTAACTATCAACCACCAACAGTTGTACCAGGTGGTGATTTAGCTAAAGTTCAACGTGCTGTTTGTATGTTATCAAATACAACTGCTATTGCCGGTAGGGTTTTTATGAAAAAGTAAAAAATTGTATTTAAGAAACAATGTTTTTTTTTTTACAGAGGCTTGGGCTCGTCTTGATCATAAATTCGATTTAATGTATGCTAAACGTGCTTTTGTTCACTGGTATGTCGGTGAAGGTATGGAAGAAGGTGAATTTTCAGAAGCTCGTGAAGATTTAGCTGCACTTGAAAAAGATTATGAAGAAGTCGGTGTTGACTCAGTTGAAGTATGTTTTAAGAAGACAAAATAACTTCATTGATATATTTATAATATTTTCTTTCTTTTTCAGGGTGAAGGTGAAGGCGAAGGTGAAGAATATTAAACGAACAAAAACTAAATTCTCTTACAAACAAAAAAGCACAGCAACAATAGAAGATTTCATCGAACATTTCAATATCTTATTGTGTACTTTTTTTTCTTATTTGCTTATGTATCTTATATTCTCCACTAGTTTGATAACAAGCGAGAGATCTTTATAATTCAATGTAATTCTTTTCTTAATATTCATTATCTTTTTTCTTTTGTGCTGCGCGTCTATGACAAAAAAAAAGAACTTAATAAACAAATGATGCACTTTATTCATAATAATCTTTGATGCAAAAGTATTGGGGCACATGTCAGATTCCTCTTCTTTTCTATAGAAAGGTGCTCAAAGAAAACTTTATTTACTAGAAGATAGAATTTATCTTCTACTTCAAATCGTATATAACTTATTTTTATCACACATGAATGAATGAAATGTTACAAGAGAAAAAAGAAACATCCTTAAAATGGTTCGTACTTGTCATAATATTTAGAATATTGATGTAAAGTAGTAAATCCTATATCTCTTGAGTGAACACGTTTTGGAAGGTTTTTGACCTTTTTTTTGTTTCTTCAATTTGATTATTCACTTTTGGAGCGTTTCGACGTTTTTTGATAATAATCGATTGTTGATTGGTTCACGTTGGAATGCTTAGTTAATGCACGCTGACTGATACCACAACGATTGTTAACAAATTTCACCAGTTGATTGAATTTTTGTTTACAAAATTTTGTTGGACGACCACTCCTTGATCAAAAAAAAAATGTGAAACATGATGTAACCGTTGTTGTTAATCACAGAGACATTGTTCTATTCAGTCTAGCTTGCAAAAGATTTCTTTATCCTCGTTTTTGTTAATCTTCCACAAATAAAATAAGAAACTAATTATTATGTTATAATGAGCCATTATTGATATACGGGTTTTGATAGTTTCTAGTTAGCGTCTGCCACGGTCTGTGCGGGACGTGGTAGCTGGATACAAATTTCTATCCTATATACTGCAATACTCTTTTAAGATCGTGTTTCCTAAAATTTGGTTTGTCAACATTTCAAATATTGGTCTAATATGTGAGAAGTCACTTGTTCTTCGCATGTCTTTTTTTTAATAAAATAACAAATTATTGTTTCACATGATTCATTGGTGAATCAAAATAGAAAATTGCAAATTTATTGTGCAGAGTGTTTCTCTTTCTTCTATTTTGTCATATTTTGTTTATGAATGTATAACAAAATTAAGTTACATAGAGTTCAGAAGAGGAGAGTGTTTTCTATTAGCTGATAAAAAGAATAATTGCTTAAATACATGTTTACTAAAGAGATATAGGAATTAATATGTAGCATGATTATTCTATATTATTTAAAAAGTAAGGACTCATTTTGAGAAGCCTTCTTTTTCCCGTTGTCACATTTAATTCATAAAAGTGTGGTAAAAATAAGTTATATACGACTCGAAAAAGAAATAGGGTCCAACTTTTCCCTCATTAATTTTGCATCATATGTTAAAATGCTTTCTATGACTAGAAATAAAGTACAAGAATAAGATAAATCTATGTTAACAATAGTGTGATTTATTTCTAGAAAATTGTTGTAAATCAGATGATGATGATGATATTTGTTGTCGTCGATTATTATAATGATTGTAATTCG